TCCTGCTTTCTTATTTTTGCTGCAGTATTTGCATCTTGCTCACTGTAGAATGCCTTTTCGGTAGGTTACAGAAAGAGGTGGATTCTGCATTTTTCTATGGTGAACAAAAAGCTAGGATCCTTAGTAATCACATATGAATAAACCTTCCATAGGGGACAAAAATATTGTGGAATCTCTTCCTTTTTAGCCCATGCTTACAAATGTCAACATAATATTCACTTTTGCAGAAGCTAATGATAGTATTTTTCCCATTCTTTCAACTGAAGAGGTAAATGTTTTGAGGTGCCTGGAAGATTTTAAAATAATGGTGTGATGGCATCTGAACCCCTATCAGGATTTGAGCAAGGCAAGCACCATGCTGGCTTAGTGGATGGGCTCCCTGATAACTGGTGTAGGGCTGTACCATCCAGCTAACAGGCTGATGACTCCTGGTCTAAATCCACAAGGTGCAGGCCCGTGGAGTACTATGCCACATGGCAGTTAACAAGGCCCCACCATGTAGCCAGCTTTAGGTTGCAAAGCAGGGCTACCCTGCTACACTTTCAATTTAAGGTAGGATGGAAACATATTTTGTATAACATTTTTGTAGCGGGTTTCTTGTTTTGTCATGCTATTAATTCCCTGAACATGCTATTCATTCCCTGAAGGGTTACTGTTTATGACTTGATTAACAGGTTCATCACATCCTAAGCATAACATCTGCCAGGGCCCTGAGACTTGCACATTTCATACAAATATGCTTGTTCTTCTGTAGCCTTACTTACTTCATAATAGGAAGTAAGGCTGTACAGCCAATTTATTCATTTATTCTCAGCTCCGAAATGGGGATGTTGCTTTTATCTTGCTCTGCTAGCAAAGTAGAATTTAATTCTGCTGTGAATTAAAAAAAAAATCATCATAATACGCTCTAGTTTTTCTTTTGTAGGGCAGGACCATGCTCTATTACAATGTTACAAAACATGTTTCATGGCTGTCTTAATGATTCTAAAACATGGTTTCATCCCATCTTTAACAGTCAATACCAAGTTGTATTTGCTTCTTTTAACCATACTGAAATGAACACCAAAATGTGTTCTTTAGCCACCCTACCCTGCCTTCTATCTGCAAAACAGATTTGGAGTACTGCCATAGCAAAGTTATCTGAAACAATGCATTTTGCTGTTTAGACCAGCTGTCAGTTCACAGTGAGCAGAAAATAAAGATGCATCATGAGCCAGTTAGTATAACTTCTCTGCTTGGAGAAATGACAGTTATGATGGACACTTTGTCAAATGTTCTTTGGTTTAGTAAAAATACTGATCACCTCCTTACTTAACATCTATTAAATCAGCTAATTAAAAAGTCTTACTAAAATATTTTAACATCAAAGGGGGCTATGAAATCAAAGTTCTTGCTTATAGACTATGTTTGGGACTGCAAGTTATTGCTCAGGACATAATTACTGAAGTATCTTCTGCACAATTCCACAGTTCCAAGATCAAACTTCCCGTCTTGTTTCCATATTATGCCATATGTTGCACATCTGTATGCCTGCCTGAGTATATGTGTAACATGTTAATACTTTATTTAAAAAATATAAAACCCTGACACACTCTCATTAGGTGGGAGGGAAAAGGAGGGAGTAGATTGTATGCTTTGACCTTTGAATTAGCACAATGACTGTGAAATGGACAGATAAAACAATATGTGATACTATATTAAACCAGAATTATTTAAGTCAAGGTTTCCCAAATTGAAGTCCAGAGACTCACTTCTCTTCTGGGTATAGCAGCTGGCTGGCTGCCCCAGCCACTTCTAGCAGCCAGAGAAGTCGGCAGGCAGCCATGACATCTTCTGCAGGCTTTAATGCACCGGGGTCCTCTCCTTGTAAATTTCTGGCACACTCAATTCCAGTTGATTTCAGTGAAAATTGAAAGCACACAGAATTGGGCCATATAAATACTTCATCACATAAGAAAGTTTACTGTTCAGAAATCTTTAAATACAAGTCCAAAAATATAAATAAAAAATAAGTGACTGTCTCCATGGCAATAATAGCAGCAACTGTAACATCCTTGGATAAAAGTAGCTTTTTCATTGTCTACAATAGTGATGTTCAACCTCTAGCCTGCAGGCTAAAAATCCAACCCATGGAGCATTTCATCTGGCCCTGTGGCTGCTGCCACCTCTCCCCTGCCAACAAATTTCCAGATCCATGGCAAACCCTGTAAGGTGGATGATTTAGCCCTGCATGCCATGGTCATTCTGTGGCCAGATCAGTTGCATGGAGTCAGGTCCTCTTGAGCCAACAGGTGGGTCACTTCATAGCTAGGTCTAGTTGCACAGGGCTTGGCCGACATACCCATGCATCCACCCTGCCTGTAGGATCTAGCCCACAGACTGGACCCACACCACTCATCCAGCCCATGGGACTAGAAGTTTGA